TGCACCTCGGCGAGGGTGCGACACTTGAGGGCAAAGACGGTCGACGCGCTCCTGCGCCCTAAAGTGTTGGGGCACAGCCGCGTCCGCTGCGAGTCAGCAGCATCCGCAACCTGTCTGAAAGGACCTCGAACTCACGGGCCGCGACGCGGTCGCCATGAGGTCTCGGAGCTGCCGGGCGATTCAGCGTCTGGGTGCCGCGCCTGCGCCGAAGGTGGCCGCGTCGTCGCGCTCGCCGGACTTCGCGGCCACGAAAGGCGAGCGCTCCGATGGGGGCGGCTGGCGCCAGGGCAATCGAGACCTGGGGGTAGGCCGACGTCGCGGAGCGCCGGGGCACGTGACATTGCAGGCTTTCGCGAAGCTCCTGAGCGCGAGGCGGGCCTGGGGAAACTCCAGCGCGCCCTTCAGGCTGATCCGCTCCTCGAACGCACGCCCGTGCAGGGCTGTGCGCGCGGCGAAGATCCCGCCCCCCGACAGGAAGATGCGTTGCCGGTAGTCCACCATGAGCTTGCCCCTCTGCTGCGGCGTGCGCCGCCGGTGGCGGCCCCAGTCCGCGAAGCGCAGCACCTCTGCAGCAGCCCGGGCGTAGCGCTGCTGCTTCAGCGGCTTTGCGCGGCGCCTGGCGGGGTAGCCCTCGCGGGCCATCGCTGTGATCGGCTCGCTGTTGGCCCGCCGTGGCCTGAGGGCGGCGCGGCCGCGAGCTGACTGCTGGCGGCGCAGCTGGCCTGCTGGCCGAAGCGGCGCCCCCGGTCGCGCTCGGCAGCCTGCGCCTGCGCGACGCTCCTGCCCCAGTCAAGAGGGGCCGGCCTCCACTCCTGATGGCCAGTGGGCGGACAGACGGGGTCTGGCGCCCGCTCCCAGTCGGAGCACTTGGCCGCGCCTGCAAGACAAGCCCCCTCTCGACATTCAGCTCGAGAACCATAAAGAATCCTGCAGCGGGCGCGCGCGCGCGCAAGATGCCGGCCCACTTTCGCGCCAGCGCCTGCGGATATCGACCGGCGAAACAAGTTTTCCAGACTGTGCCCTGTCCAGGGCCAAGCCGCACCAGGCCCTCAATAACCTCGTGAACGCGGTCGCGGGAGCAGCTGGGCCCCAGGGTCTAGAGAGGCTTCAGGTCGGCAACATGCGTGGTGGACTTCAGGTAGCGGCAATTGTGGCGATAGTGCGTAGTGGTGACGTAGCGTCGGTGACGGAATAGCAAAGCCGTGACTTCAGGGCAAGTCCAAAGACGGGATGGCGAAGGGTTCTCGATTGACCAGTTTACCCCGTACCGAACACAGAAGCAAAATGCTTGCCCCAGCTACGCGCCGGATTGGCCCGGCTAAAGGGGGTGCGCGGCGTGCCGAGATGGGCGCGCCACACCTCGCGGCGAACGATCAGAGAGGGGATCACTTGGATGACGCTCGGGTTGGTCAGATCGCGCCACGGACCCCGTGAGATGTCGACTGGGAGCCAGCTTTGGAAACCCTCGTCGAGGCAGGCGGCCGCGAGGCAAGCGCAGCCGCCATAGAGCTCCAGCACGTTCCGCTGCTGGCACCGGGCGCGGGGCTGAGCGGCGAGGCGATGCGGCCCTGCCCCGCCCGTCGTCAGCGTCAGTCGTGGGTCCAACACACCTCCGCACTTATTCATGTCAGTCGCGGTCGACGACCGTGGGTCCAACGCTCCTCCTTGCTTGTATATTATCAATCGCGGTCGACGACTGGTGGGGCTCGGCTGAGCCGGCTGGCAGGTCGCGGGAGGCTTCTCGCTGCGTCTGGCCTGGTGCCAGCTCGGCCCGCCGCCCTGGAGTCGTAGTCGGTCGGGTTCCGTTTGCTCTCGGAGTACCGGCGGTAGCGCTGGATGCCCGCAGCGAGCTGTCGAGCCGCCGACTGGCGGGCTACCTGCCGCAGGACCGGGTTGGCACGCCTGCCTTTCTCAAAGGCCATCATCGATGACATACTGTCGCCTGTAGAGAGGGCGCGGCACCCATGGGCCGCCTCCGACCGAGTGGCCCGCCTGAGGCCCAGCAAGGTCGCCCGACCCTCGAAGACGTGGATGGGCGCCGCGAAGAGAAAGGCGCCGCGGACGACCAGCTGCCACCAATGCGCGGCGACGGCCGAGTCGGGGAGGGCCGGAATGCCGCCGCGACAAGCCGCGGCCGCGGTGGCCTGGTAGTCAATCCTCCCGACGCGTCGGCGCCGCTCGGTGCCGCGCCCGCGAGGCGGTTGGCCCAGTCCCGCGAAAGCCGCGTCGTCGTCGCCGGCTGCAGAGAAGCTGGCCAGCGCGGCGACCTCAGTGCCCGGGGGGTCGCCCGGGACGCCGGCATACGGGTCGAGGGCGAAGAAGCGCTGGCGCTCTCGGTAGGCCCCGATGTCACGCAGCTCGTCGGCGTTGATGTGCGATGCGGCCACGGCGCAGCCTCGCATGCTGGCGTCGGAGCAGCGCGCGCGCGGATGCCAGCTAGCGCCAAGGCCAGGCCCGGCGAGGGGGACCATGACCTTCACGAGGCTCAGCTCGCGCAGCTGCTCGATGCTGAACTCGCAGTGCGCGCCCGAGGAGCGCGCGACCC